AAAAAAAACTTCCTTCTATTTTAAATTTTTTTTGTTCTTGTTTTTGTTTTTTTCCGGTAGATGTCATTTGTGCAACTTTACTTAAAATAAGTTTCTTTAGATTTTCTTTAGATAATTCTTAATATGTGAAAGTTTAAATCCGTACGTACAGTTAAATTGTGTTGAAAGAAAAAAGTACATCATTAAGAAAACATGGAGCTGTTGTAATATATAAAATTCTTATTAAACGAAAAAAAAACGAACATTCGGGAACTATACGAACAAAACTGCTCTTTGTTCAAGATTTCATATAATTGGTTATTGTAAGCCTTGAACCTTTCAACACTTAAATGTTCAAGGCTTACGATTCAAGCATTTTAGCACAAAATTGACAATTTCAATGTGCAACGGTATTTGCAGTCTGCAACAGAGTTATGAAAGCAACTGAAATAGTGATAGGTCTCCTTTTAAAGGTGATCAAGCAGCTGATTAAGTTCATTTTCAAAATTAAGTGAAACAAATTGTTCAGTCTCCTGGAAACTCTAAAATATTATCTATGTTTAACTATATACCTATTATGATTGAAGAATGGATTCTTGTTAAAGAAAACAAAATCGCTTTATTATTCTTTTTGTTTATACAACATTACGTTACAATCTTTTATTGTTTTTTAAGTTTTTATGTTGTTGCCGCACCAATATTACTAAATAATCCGGCATTATCTTTTTATATCGTTCAAAAATTTGTAAGTTTCTTTATATATGTATATAGATATTTTATGTATATACGTTTCTTTATCTACCGTCGCATGTATGCATAAGAAAAAGAACAAAATAAGAATATGGAAGATATGAAAATAAGTTCCTTTTTTGTTTTAAGATTTTGAAATTTTCTTTTGATATTTTTTATTAACAAAACAAAAAAAATTTTCCATTATGTTTATTTTTAGAAAGGAAAAAACCCAAAAAAAAAGGAAATGTATGGTGGATTTTTATTCTGAAAAATCCACTTAAAAATATTTGAAATAGTTTCATATTTTTTAGGTATAATCACGTCTTAGACTGAATAAGAAATATTATATATATACGGTTAATACATAAAATGAATCAATAACGTTATTTCTTTATAAAGTTAAAAATTGCGTTTGTGTGTTTGTTATAATACAAATATCTTAAAATCCATAAATAATTTAAATTTTTACCCATATAACATTTAATTTTTGTCAATAAATTTAATTTAATTTGAACATCTTATAATAACTTCGTTCTTCTCCCTAAAGATGTCATTATTTATGTATGCTATGCTCTCTATAAGTCAATAATCATAAACTCAATTATCATCAAACTTTTATATAATTTCAAAATTTTTAAAATCACAATCAGTTTGTGTCATTTTCCAATTCAAATCAGAGTAAAGTTAATTTTGTTCGGATCAAATTGTTTTTTGATTACAAACAGGTGAAATTTTTGTTTTACTTTTTGGCATACGTACATATACACATACATATTTACGTAAGTATTTCTTATTTTAATATCAAAAAGTTTAGACTTTATTCAAAAGAATTTCGTAAAATTAAAAGTATTATAACATACATATGTATCTATGTATATTTACGTATGTAGAAAAAACAAGTCGAAAAATGTGAAAGAAAATTAGAAAATTCTTGATTTTTTTTTTTGTATACATACATACATATACATGTAGGTACATACATACATATTTTTGAATTTAAGGGGCATACTTCACTTCAAATATTGAATTTTATATGTAAAAAGAATATATGATAAAGGAGAAATAATAGAAGAGTAAAATGCAAATAATAAAATGTAGACGTAGATGCTATCTAAAAGTTCTCTCGCACATGGTACTATTGTGGTATACGATACAAAATTCATATGTATATGATGATTCCAAAAATGTTTTACTGTATGTATACCAATATCACATCTGCAGACAGTAAGGCGGCACTGTGTAATATGTGAAAGCAAAATAAAAGAAGATGATTAAAGATTAACAATTATAATACATTCAACTTTTGTTTCAATATAAATAATGACAGTATAATGACGAATTATTTAAAAGTTGAATTTTTTTATTTCAATATTATTTAAGCTGATTATAAAAGACTTTTGTATTAAAAAGCTTCTTAGTGCCATTTAATTACCATAGATATAATATGTAAATTTAGTCTGAATATGGGGTGAATATTGTGTTATACAGCTACAGCAATAGAAACATAGATATCGCATATTTTTCTATGTGTTTGCAGTACATATATTGAATGCTTTATGAAAATTTTCCAATGCAGGCACATTCAGCCATAGGTACCCAATAAATTTAATTTATATTGGAGGTGTGATATTAAATAAATGTAAATGTATAATGTAAAAAATTCTACTATATAGGTGTTACATATTATGAGGTGTACAGTATTGAAAATTTGATATTGTAAGTTACAACTGAAATATGATAAAGCATACAAACAAAAGCATAAAATTAAAAAGTAAAACATTGATTGTTAAAAAATTACATGGCCAAATAATTAAGGAATTATGATCTAATTTTTTAGCAAGTATTGAGTATTTGTAGTACATTTGCAGTTCGTAAAGTTCTAATGCTTGAAATGCATAGCTGTAAGAAACATTTTAAATCAAATAATATGAGTGTTGTTTGAGACTTCTTAAAATCCTTCTAGCACGGAAACTATCCCGTTTTGACAATAGGTTTCGAATAAAAATTTTACTCATTTTCGATCAGCTACCTGATGGTATATAACTCTTAATTTATTGTTGAATAATCCTGTATACTTACTTAATAAATGAAATTTCGATATATTAAAGGTCATTCGAAATACTTTGCTAAGTTATTGCTTTTCAAAAAAGTGAGATATTTTTCGACTGTGTTGTTTTTGTAAAATTATTGCTAAAGAGTACAATTGTAAGTGAAGTACATATATAGGTACTCTTGAAAAATCAAAGAAATTTCGAAAATATTTTTATTAATGTATTCCATATGTATGCTTGTAAATGATGTATATTTTGTATAGCTATGCAATATCTATATAAATGTAAATTTAAGGCATCTTCACATATCCATCCGTCATGTATTTTAAATTTTTATGTTTTTAACATTTTTTTTTCAGTTATTATTTTTTTCCCTTTATATAGGAACTTTATTTTATAGCTTTCTTTTTATGTTATATGACTTTTTGGTTCCTATCCTACATGATACGTAATGTTATATGTACGTATAAAATCTTCAAAATTTTCAAGTATAGAAAATTAAATTTTTTTGTACTTTTACGGTACTCTTTCCATTTCCATAAGTGTCTTATGGACTTTGCAATTTTTGTTTTTCCTTGAATGTTTCACATATACATACATATTAAATTATGTTATGTTATGGATTAAATTTAAGAGGACTTACGAGTCTTATTTTGTTTTTTGTTGAGCTGAAGCGATTTTGACGTCACAAAAGGTTTTTTGTCAAAATTTAAAATGGAAATAAATAAATGCATGTGTATATACATGGTGTATATATGGTAATCTTTATTACATATAAAGAAAATTTTTGAAAAATAATCTACATTATTGTGTGTTGATTTTGACATAAGACATAATAAGGTTATATATAAGTAAGGGTGTAAAAAAATCAATCTATATTTCATGTTTTTTATTAAAAATTTATTTATTGTATAAGAATTTTAAAATTCTCAAGATGTATAATTAAACAATTGTAGATATACTGGTAGTTGTGTTATTGGAAGGTCGTTGTTTTCTTTTTGGTGGTATTCATGTAGAATATCAACAAACTAATGCATAACTAACGGCAATTAGGCTAAACCCTGGAATAATAAGTCTATTTTCCATAATCATTTTAGCTAAAATTTTAAAATGGCTGCCATACTAGATGCAGACCAGTAAGATTTACGCTGTTGGGTTTATTTTTAATTTATTTAAAAATTATGATATTCTCTTTTCTAAAGGAAATCAAAACCTTCATATGAAATCATATTTTATAAACGTAAATGTAAAAGTTAAATTAAAATACCACTAAAAATACAGAAATTAATTGATAAATTATATTTTCCGTTAAAAAAAAATGGTTATTTTTTATACTCATTATATGTATGTATATGTATCTGTTTATAGTTAGAAAAATATATAACAGTTAGTAATGAAAAAAAAATAGGTAGGTATAAGGATATTTTTTAAATGGAAACCTTTTCTAGGCTTCCTTCTCTTCCATATATTACAATGTAACAAGTGGAAAAATAATTTTATTTTCATTCCGGCCTCTAAATAAAATATTGTTACGTATATCAAGAATGATAAAATTAAATTTTAAAACTGGAAATTGACTTCCTTGAAGTGAAATATAATTGAATTTTGTTTTTTTTTGTAAATAATTGAGAAATGATTCAATAAACATTTTAATTAAATTCTTTTTTTTTTTAAAGAGTTTTATATAAATATTTTCCATTAACCCTGTGTTAATAAATTCATTATTCATAAGTTCATTTAAAACTCAAAGATATAATTTAATTTTTAATGGCAAATATTAAAAACGAAGAAGGAAAATGCTTTTAAAAGATACCAATATGATAATGCAATTATTATAAACCAAAAAATTTAATGGAAATGTAATAAATTTAATTAACCTACTATAAAAGAAATAAATTTGAATATCCTGCTCTAAAAGATTTTCCTATAAGTTTCAACATGAATTTAGAATATGTATAAAGAAATTTAAGATTTTCGTATATTGTCAGTATGTCAAATTATGTATACAATATGTGGACACCATTTTACAATATCAAATGTCAACAAAAAATTTCAATAATATTGTCAAAGATTGCAATTGATTTTAGCGTACAAATAATTTCTAAGCCTCAAAAAATAATTTCATTGTAAATTTTAATTAAGAATTATTAAAGAAAAGACTTTAGTTTGTCAAATTTATAAAAAATTTTTACTTTTTATATAATTTATCTAATTTCTCATTTTTATTATATTTTACAGATTTTTTTTTTTTCGGAAAATCAACAACAAAAAATAATAGTTTTGGCTATGTAGTTGGAAAATGAATCTACTGTTCGAAAATTTATTATAAATTTTATAAAAATAATAAAAAATCAATATTTTTCATATAAAAAATTATATAATGTCATGCCAAAGGACCCCGCCAGCGAGTCCACGTGCACCAAAAATACAACAACAATCATGGGATGACTGTGATTCACCACCAATTGATTTATTTGATCCATATCGTCAAAATATAGCAAGTCCTCCAAGAAGTCCATCACATCGAAAACAACCACCGATTATATTGCAACAGCCTCCAAAATCTCCAAAATCATCAAGGTATAATAATGATTAAATTTTTTTTTTAAATTAATTGTACCGCAAAATTTTCCTGCAAAGTCTTTTTTAAGTTTTTTTAATTATTGTACCTGAGATTTCAGTCTAAAACTTTCATTTAAAATTTTGAATCTAACTTGATCAGCTATATGTATGTAAAAACATTGTTACGTCAAGTTAACAGAATCTAATTTGAAATCGTATTTGGCCAAAAAAAATTTACGTTTAATGTTTTTACGAATGTACGAGTACATCGTAATACGATACAAAAAATTTTAATTCTTAAACTTCACACAATTTAACTTAAATAAAGTAATTGTGTAAATACATATGTACATACACATGTTCGTGTATGATTAATATTTTTCAATCATAATTATTTAGGGAATTATGTCAAAATTCTTTAGAATATTTTGTTGTTTTAAAATATTTTCAAAAAATCAAAATTATTCAATTTGATATTCGAGTATTAATATGCGGATGTACATATTTGGTTTTTATATTTACATATAATTAAAAAAAGTTTGGGATCCGGTCCATTATCATAATTATATTATGATAATTATGTTTCTACATACAAAACGTACTTACATTCATATATGCAAAAATTAATCCGCAATTATTATCCTTTGTTTTTAAACCGAATATTTACCAATTTTCATGTGAATATCAATTTTTGGGGCATAAAAATATGGTTTGTAGTAAAATTTAATATTATTAATTCAAAATTGCATAATAATTTTATAAATAGCATTTAATTAAAATTTATAAATAACAATATTAATATACAGATGTATAAGCTGATATAATTTTTTTTTTTTTTTGAATAAATTACAGAAAATATAGTAAAACATCAAATAACGTAAATTGTTATTATGATACACCATCCGTTGTCTCATCAGTACGTAGTCCAACAGCAAATGTTGGTGTACATCATCATGGAACATCACGTTCATTTAATAATTTTCAAGTAACATCAAATAATAGTCCAAAATATGAGAATCCACCACGTAGCCCAAAAATTACTACAACTTATGCAAATGATGATGATGATCATGGTAGTAATAATGGTCATGGTGTTGGTGTTATTGTTAATAACGGTGATATTATAGATAATGATGACGATGATTGTATAACATCAGCTTCATCATCAACATCATATTATCAGACACCGACATCTGGTTCAAGAAGTCCAAAACAATGTGGTGGCAGTGGTGGTGGTGGTAATAGCGGAAGTATTGGAAGCGGTGCAGGTGGATTCAATAGTACAGGTTATTATACTGATAGTCGAAATCAATCACCACGTCCAAGTCCAAAATCACCAAGAAAATTTGTTTTTGATGCGATCAGTCCAAGTTATGAACAAAAAGGTAAGCATAACCTTTGTATATGTCTTTTGAAAATTTCGACAATATAATATGCATGTTTTTCAACATTTTACATACATAATAATTTTTCGCCAGCAAAATTTTTTGAATATTTCAATATTTATTTAAAAGAATCTATATACTCGTATGTATATTGTATACATAAAACTTGCAAACACGCAGCAAAAATTATTTAATTTATTGAAACAATAACGAATATACTCGCATAACTGGCTATCAGTTTTATAAAATGTTTAAAATGTATCATGCGAAGGAATTATAATTAATATGTATTTTCATTTTTTTTGACTCGTGGCATTTGTTTAAATTTGTAATTTGATTATTATGAATTTGCATTTATGTATATTTGATTGTACTGATTGAAATTTCATATATTTACGGTCTAAGGATTTTCGCTGTTGTTAAGCGGATTAAATGTATACACAATTACGTGTTATTTTGCCTGATTTTATGAAAATGAAACGTAAATATTAGCAACCATCCAAAATAAATAAATAAAAAACATAAAACGTTTAGAATAACATTTATTGATACATTTACTGTTAAAATGTGTAGTAATTTTAACAGAAAATTTGGTTCAGTTTTTTCATTTTGTTAATTTGAATTTAATTGAGAAATATTTGAAATATTGCGTGTAACGTAGACATATACATGTACATATTATATTTATTGTTTTGGTTGGTGCCGTCTTCAAACATTATTTATATTAGAAACGTCGCCGGACCTTATGATATTATTATTATTACGGTATTATGATCAATAAGTTTTTGCTTAAAAACATAAATGGTATTGATTCAAACGACGTGAACGAGATTTAATACTTTTCGACATACGATAAAATTTTTCGATAAATTGAAATCGAAAAATTGATCTATTTGCAATTAAGATAGAGTAATTTTGAAAACTCGACCAAGTAGGAGACAATATTGTACATATTTTCTGAATTCAAAGTACACTTACAATGTTCATTCAACGTTATATATTTTTCCAATTCAGTTATTAAATACTTGAGGTTTCAGAAAAGAATATTCTTCATACAAACAATATCCCGTTATTATGGTTTTCCAAACTTTCAGATTACTTTTTACGCCACGAAGATCTGCGTTTTAATGTTTAATTCTCAAGTTTCTACATTAAGCCGTTATCATATTGCAACCATTAAAAAACTTTTCTCGTAGCAAACTGGCATATTGTATTTAGACTTTATTTATAAGTTTTGCTTTATCTACATTTTGATTTTATTAAAAATATTTGCATAATAGAAGGCGAACTTGAAAAGTGAAATTTTACTTATCTGGGAATTTTAAAGAATTTTAATGAAAAAGATAACTTTTCTGAAAGCGTCCTTTTTTTAGCAATTTATTTTTTGGGACATGAAATGAATATTCTAACAAATCTTTTTCATTTTTCATAAATGTTTTAAAAAATAATACCGTTTTAAATTAATTAAACATTAAATTGGTTTTCTTTTTAAAAAAATTTTTTTTTTTGAAAAATTGTTAAGTACACAATAATTTTGTGAACTTTCACTAAACAAACTTTTTACAGAATTATTTTAAAGTACTTTTGAATCCAAATTCAATAAAATAGCAAAATAAATTTTGAACTGCTTATATTTTTAGAAGGTCGCATGCACAATATGTAAATAAATAAATTCAAGAGTTCAAATAAATTAAATAAAAATCATTTTGATTAATTTTCGAAATTTTTAGTTTGTATTCTTGTACTGAAATTTCTAAATTTTATTTATTAATGGGTATGACGTGGACCAAGTTTATATCAATTGGTCCTTTTCATTTTGTTTTTTCTTGTACATTTGTGTACAACTTTCATTTCTCTTTTTTTTTTTTTTTTAATTTTCTTTCTAGTCAATTGAGCAATATTTTTTTTGTAAATTTGTTTTTGGCATTTTTTCTCTTCTTTTACTTTTCTAAGCTATTAAATATTCAAAACCATTAGAATTCATTATGAACCCGCTTTAAATGTGTACCCACATCTTTTTTGCTAATTCTTTCAATAAAAAAATGTACACATAGCTTTAAAGCTATACGTTGAAAAGATAAAAGTTTTGAACTGATATTTAAGTATACATTTAAGTAGTATAAGAGAAAATTTTTACAATATTACAACAAAGGACACACATACCTAAAAATTAGGTATGTGTGTCATGGTTTTTATATTATTTTTTTTTTGTTAAGATAGGCCATTAAAGGCATTATGTATAAAAGAACAACAATAATAAAAGAATAAAAAATATGTGGTATGACAATGAATACAATCCGAACACAATCATTTTAAATTTTTAATTCTGGTTCCATGCAACAGGTATTAGGTAAACATTAAAAATGCATTTGAATATTATGGTTACAATTTGCCACTAGAGGGTTTCTTATTTTATTTTTATCATACTTTTACCACTTTCTATAGCAAATTTTCTTTTTTTTTGTTTTTGTAAAATAAATGTAAAATAATGGTTTTTATTGTTTTGAATTATAAATGATTATAAAAAGTCTTTCAATTTTAGTCTATATTATACCAATTAATCTTCATTAGTTTTTATTACTTTTCATCTATAATATCAAGATATCAAGATGTATACGAATTTATACAAATGGTTCTGACTGAATTGTAGATCGCAACTGATAGAAGCATGCCAAAAATAACACTTAATGTGGAGATAATAGAATAAGAAATTTATAAGTAATTTCAAAATAATTTAGTAGTAAAATTGATTGACCTTTAAAATAAAAAATTATATGTAAATTTTATTATTCCCTTAAATCGATGTCTTTTGGTGAATTTGTTGAATATTTGTTGTAGGTTTAACTGCATTAAAATTTCAAAGTAATTGTAAGAATTGATATATTAATTTCAATAAATGCTTTTAATGCTAAACTAATTCAATTTTGCCAAATTTATATTGATAATAAAATAAATGGTTGGTTTAAATTTAATTTACATTATCTCTGTTTTTAATAGGGAATACTAAAATTCAAATTATAATTTCATATGTTGCTTTGCCAAGATGCGATTATTAATTGGCGAACATACATGATGTTAAACATTCCATATACAATTCTGTTTTAAACAGTCAAATTATAATTTTTTTCGCAGCAAAAAATTTTTGCAACAATTTTCCTAATAATTAAATTTTATTTCTCAGTATTTTCATTAAATAATTAAAAAACAAATTATTGTTTTAATAAAAAAAAATTTATTGTTGAATTTCCTTACTCATAATCTCGTTATGCACGTGTAGGAAACATCCCCTTATCTGGTGTAAAACAAAGATTTAACGAAAGCACACTGAATGAAAATGGCGACCTTTTAACAAACTTCTGTGCTCATAATAGTCTTCGGTTAAACAACACGTTCTTTGATCATGATTTTAGGTATAAGTACACATTCGAAAACTACCAGGGGAACCGTTCCATGATCGATTATATAATTACGAGCAGACACTTCAAGCCCGCAGAAATTTTAGATGTTCGGACTCTAAACTCAGCGAATATTGGCAGTGACCATGCACCAGTTCTCGGTAAAATTCGATTGAAGTACAATCTGTGTCCTAACAATAGCCATGACACAATTGAAAAGTTTAACGTCGAATCATTCCAGAATGAAAGTACTAAATACCTTTACCAACGAAGACTCAATGATAAAACACACGATAACCCAATAGTTGAAACAAATAATCCAGATCAAGCGTGGGAAAGACTGAAAAATAACATAATGAGTGCAGCAGGTGAAGCGCTAGGTAGAAGAACTGTTAGAGCAAGAAAAACAACTAACTATAAAACCCCATGGTTCACAGAAGAGGTCAAACGAATTGCTAAAGAGAAGAAGCAATCGTATCTGCGTTATAAAACCACCAGAACGCTAGAAGATAAGCAGTCTTACATTCGTATCAGAAATGAGGCAAACAGAAAAATAAGAGAAATCAAAGAGTCGTACTGGGAAAGATTCACTAAAGATATGGAAAACGACATGTACGGGGCTCAGAAAAAAGTGTGGAAAATGTTGCGCAATAGAAAATCTGAAGTAAGCGAAACAGTCAAAATAAACCCCATTAGCAATAGAAGATGGATGAATTTCTTTCAGATATTGTATGAGCAAGACACTTCAGAAGAATCATCAAGCGAGCAGTTTATCACGAACAATATAGAGCGCGTTACAGTAGAATATCATAATTTAGATAATGCAATAACTAAACTGAAGAATAGAAAAGCTCCTGGCAACGACCGCATTACTAACGAAATGCTGAAGTATGGTGGTGAGTCTCTGCAAACCGAACTAGTAAAGCTGTTCCAAATTATCTTTACAACTAATAAGGTACCCGTTGAATGGAAGGGAAGCGTAACCATACCGATTTTTAAAAAGGGTAACAAGAACGACCCTAAAAATTATCGTGCTATAACACTTTTGTCTTCCTCACAGAAGCTCCTGTCAAAAGTAATTATAGACAAAATGGCCTCATACGTCACAACTCGAGAAGAACAACAGGGCTTTAGAGCCAACAGATCGACAACGGACGCCATTTTTATAGTTCGACAAATAGCAGAAAAATCTATCGAATTTAACGTCCCGGCTTTCATGTGCTTCGTAGATCTTGTCAAGGCTTTCGATCGAGTAAGATTGCAAGACGTACTAAACATCCTTCATGAAAAAAATGTGCCTTTAGATGTAATAGAAGTTGTTAAAGATCTAAATACTGAATGCAAAACTAGAATACAGGTTGATGGAAAATTGGGAGACGAAATCAACTGCAAGACAGGTATCCGTCAAGGAGATTCACTAAGCCCTATATTATTTAATCTCGTTATGGATAAAATAATCGAAGAGGTGGACAACCTAACGGGCTATCAAATGGGTGATAATAATATATCAATTGTGTGCTATGCAGATGATGCAATCCTGATCGCCAAAACAGAAAATGATCTACAAAGGCTTCTTCATAAATTCGTCGTTACTGCAAAAAAGTA